TCAAGTAAATCTGTATACATGTATATGCACATGCTTCTAAGGTTTGCCTTTTGTTGCCAGCGATTACCAGCACTCGCCCAGTCATAGATAGGTACCGTATTATGTGGCTCTACAATGAACTGATATCTCTTACTGCCAGACATATGGCGAAGCTGGCATTGCGTCCTGATCTGTGTATGCGTTTACGTTCTCAACTTGGCTGTCTCACTACTTGTATTTCGGATGCATTTTTATACAGGCGCGGGGGGAACGCTGATGTTGTCGTATGTGCTGACCGTGGAATGGGTTACCTCGGAACATCGAGCCTTAGTCGGTGTCATTGTGTCGGTAGGTTCATGCAACGATGCTTGGTCAGACGAGTGTGTATGTATCTGGATGTTGTTGCTGACGTACTAGCAGATTATCAATACAATGTATAGTTAATAGTACCATGTGGGAGAATTACTTTGTCCGATTGTGCCAATGAACACATGGGCGCACTCGCAGTACTTAGCAAGAGCTCGTATTAGAGAAGACCCAGCCCACTTGCCGTCGGTGATTGCTTATATTGATTGCCTATGCGCATATACATACAATATAAAGTATATTTATTAGTGCAACAGCCCGTGTGAATGTCAGCTATGCTGCTCCAGCGAGCACTGTACCAACATACTCGTAAACCTGAAGCTATATTTTCTATTTCAGATATATGTTTTATCATAAACCTATTCCACGACATCTTCTAAACCTGCCAAGCACAGTATAGCATGTTTTGACTTTATGTACCGTAACCCCAACCTCGACCTCACCCTTGCTATCTCGTATGCAGATATTCTTCCCAATCGGGTCGCTTCTACTGGTTCCCTTGGCCTTTCTGGTACAGTCGTGGCGACCACTGACGCTGGCTGTGGCGTTCTTCTGTGTAGTGTGTCTACCCTTCCATGGCTGGATGCCCGAATCGCCCCATTGGTATATTGTTATTCGGGATCTACATGTGTTTTCTGTCTGACCCTATATACGTATAAAGGTGTGCCCAAGATATCGACAAAGGGGACATGCCAGCGAATAGCAACTTGTACTTCTAAGAATTGCTTTGAGCAAGTCTTTACTTACGGTTAATATCCGCTTGCTCCCACCCAAATACCATTACTACGAGACAGGCTGGTGTCCCAGGGCAGGGAGGAGGAAGCTTTGCTGACCATCAGAACGGCATACAAGGTATTGTCCACCATGCCAATTGCTTGGATATGGTATATATATATATATAAATATATATGTGTAGGTGTGTATATAATATA